CAATTTGCGATCACGCCTCGTAGAACCTGTCTCAGCTTAGTAACCCAAAATTTTTGTCTTATTTCACCAATGGTTGCTTCAGTATTTTGGTGCTTCATACGCTGATGGTAATAGGCGACAATGAGTGCAGTAACTCGATGGCGTGTCGGCAAAATAATCGGATGAATCGCTTCAAACGGAAGATGACTTGCGGCTTCTATTCTTCCACCTACTCGCATGACTTCATCGCCATCCAAAAACGGCAAAAGATCTCGAATCGTACTATCATTAGGCAGCATCTGTTTCTCGCGTAGGCTGTGTATTTCTGAGGCATAGAAAGCGGCTTGAGCTTGACGGCATAGTAGCTTCTCTGCCGAATCTAGCTCACAACTATTTAGACCAAAATTTTCATTTGCATATAATCTTCGGCGAGCCCGGTTCGTAAATCTAAAGATCCACGCAGTAGTCCTTTTCAGTTTTAGATACGACGAAAAGCGATCAAAAATGATAAAATCGCTAAAAATAGTTAAATGTATGGAGCTTGCGGCAATCACTTCAGCCATCTCTGCCTGATCGTTGAGTACACCAGTCGCTTAAGGCCATAAATTTTCTGTCTGCCTTAGAAACGTAGGCCCTGTAAACCAACGTGCTGACTGGGCTAAGTCTATGTCTTGAGTCCGCCGAGTTGCTTCGTCTGCCACATTTTCGCGAGTTGAAATCCATCGCCAAGTTTTTTGCTCGGTCGTAGCAAGTATCTCAGCTATCCTATGTGCTACAAATGGTTTATAGCGGCGTTGAGAAGACTTGATCCAGCTGATGACAGTTGAGGAATCGCTCCAGAAAACGCACGAGTGAACAGCAACGCTATGTTCCTGGAGGATCATATGAGCCAGACGAGCACCAAGAACAGCTGCTTGTAAATCAAGCTTTGGTATTGTTGTTGCCCTTATGGGCGCGCATTTTGTTTTTGCGCATACGAAAGCAGTTCTGATACCATCGCTCGTTGTGTATCTCCAATAGCACACCGCGGCATATGCCGCCTCGCTGGCATCTACAAATGTGTGCAGCTGTAGCTGCTTTGTGTCATAGCCGGGAAAATAGTGACGTCCAATTCGAACTTGTGCTGCCCTTCTTACCTCACCTTGCCATCTTC